AACCTGGCTTCATAGCTCTATTATTTCTGAAGGTTTTGAGAAAATTCAGACTGTTCATATGAGGTACTGTTGAAACAATTCACCAGGTAATGCTAAAGGGTTCCGTATACAAGTTCTGCGGATGAGCAACCTAGGTCTTCCTTGATGGCAGATCTTATGCCTAAAAAACGAAAGGCAGTGCTTCCAGCCATGATTTGATTCGAGTAGATGACATTTGAGACTTGCTTTTAAGTTCGGTGTTGTCTTTCGATCAGGCCATTTGCATGTGGATGGTACGCAGTTGTGTTTGTATGAAAACCAAGGTATTTTCCTAAAGCTTGAAAAGGTTGGCTATCAAATTGCCGACCTTGGTCAGATGTTATGCAATTTCGCACAATTTGGTATGAATCTGTGATAAAAATTCACCATACGTAAAAATCGTCTTAAACTAGTAAATGACTTTGGTTCTGGGAAATTTTTGATGGCATCAACTTTCATTGAAAGAGGTTTAAGTCCTTCAGCTGACACTTCGTATCCCAGGAATGCAAGTTTTGTTTGACCAAATTTACACTTTGCCGCATTAATACACAGGCCATATTCATTTAGTCTCTCGAGGACTGCTCGTATATGTTTTCGATGAGTTTCTTCATCTGGAGAGGCTATTAGAATGTCATCCAAATAGCAAAACACGAATTCTAGTCCATTCAACACACTGTTCATGAAACGTTGGACCTTTTGGGCCGCATTTCGTAGGCCGAACGTCATGAATGGGAACTCGAATAAGCCAAAGGGAGTGAGAATGGCTGTTTTCGGTATATCTTCTTCGCGAACTGGAATTTGTTGGTACGCTCTTATGAGGTCTATGGATGAGAAAACTCTTTTTCCAGCTAAAATGGAACTGCAATCTGTTAAAAATGGGAGAGGATATCTATCAGGAATTGTGACGTTGTTTAACGCTCGATAGTCTCCACAAGGTCTCCAATCACCTGATTTCACCATAGCGAGATGTAGTGGGCTCGACCAGTTACTTTTGGATGGCCTGCATAAACCCATTTGGAGCATAAATTCAAACTCTTTTTAGCCGCTTTAAGTTTCTCAGCTGATAGTCTCCTGGCTTTAGCGAAAACTGGTGGACCTCTGGTTTCGATATAATGTTCGATGTTATGATTTTTAACTTTATTATTAATTACATTCAGTTTTAACAAATCCAGAAAGTCATTAATGATACGTTTATATGGATCATTTACGGCATTTAAAATCGGAATATTATTATTGTTATTTTGAAAATAAGGAGTTCCATTAATTGTTAAGAATGTAGTACCGTCAATCAACTTGCGATTTTTAGAATCTACCGAAAGGTTAAAATTTGCAAGAAAATCCTTGCCTATTATCGGTTTGTTTACGTCCACAATTACAAAAGGCCATGTGAATGACCGTCTGAGTCCAAGATCAAGCTTGAGTAATTTTTGGACATATGTTTTAATTTTCGTACCATTTGCAGCAAAGAGTTCTAATTTTGAGATGTTTTTTTATCTGCAGGTAAGGGAGGAATGACAGAAATTTCTGCCCTCAGTAAATCTATTAAAAATTGGGTAGCCGATTCTTTGTCGCTGATGAAAAGACGACTCAGCTGCACCCCTTGTCCCTCGTCGTCAATGAGAGACGGGGAGCTGGTTTTCCGGACTATTTGTCTGTGATTTTGACGAGTAGTTGCAGGGTTGTTTACACTTAAATGACTTATCACTGAATTTTTTATGACAGTAACAAATATCACTAGATCTGTTACCACTGTAACTCCTATCTCTTGATTTGGATCGGTTATGACAATAGGGACGACTGTGGCATTGCTTGGATTAAGCAGAAACTTGTAAGCTAAGTTCACTAACATGTTTTTGTAAACTTTAAATCACTTCCGTTTTACCGTTATGGATGATGCAGCAGCTATTTGGGGAGTAAACAGGGTTTATTCCCAAATCTTATCGGCCATTGTAGCCACTTTTGACAAATCTTCACTACTAACAGATATAATGCTACGCATATTAAAGGGTAAACGTTGTAGCCACAATGTTTTAGGAAAGTATTTGTTACTTTATCGCCAGCCAAATTACGCATCTCACATAGCAATTGAGATGGCTTTTTGTCACCCAGTTCTAACTCACTCAGTAATTTTGGGTTTTTTGAGTCTCTGAATCAGCATATAATGAAATTAGTCTATTTTAATTGCCTCATATTTATTATCTTGTGGTGGACTTAGCAAAATATCAGATACCTGTGACAAAATATCGGGTTCAATGGAACTTATAACATAATCATATTTGTTTGATCTGCACTAATTTTTGCATTTCTAAATTGTGCTTCTAGTTGAATAAACCCATATTTTAGGATCTGGCTTCCAAAAAGGAGGAACTTTAACGCTTACCTTGGCGACAGATGCAGTTGTTGCTTTAATTTCGGTTTCGTCTTCGTCAGCCATTGTAGAATTCGATCACGCCGGGATACACCAGTGAAGTGTCTGGTGTGCAAATATAGAAAAATAACACTTCTCTGACTCCTATGGAACCAATATTTTATTCCTTACGATGTTATAGATTCTTATTCATAAGATTTATTTACATTTTACATGCACGTAGCATCGCGTGACAAAAACTCGAAGTTTGTCTACTTCGTTCTTCGCGGAGACTAGAAGGTGTTGCCATTCCGCTTTAACTAAATTTCATTAGAAACTTAACGGAACTGAAGCAACACTACAAAACCAACTCCAAAGCTATCTCATTAAACTGGAAAAATGGCTTACCCTTTGCAGGATTAAAATTAACACTGATAAAACTAAGGCAATAATTTTCCGTAAAGGAAACATGAAATACTATCCTCCACCCCCTGAAATATTTGACGAAGAAATAGACTGGATTAATGAAACCAAATACCTTGCAGTCACCCTTGACCAAAAACTTACCTTCAAAACCCATTTCCGGTCCGTAGTACAAAAATTCAAAATCACACCACAACTACTATGCGACCGTTTATTGGTAGAAAAATCAACTTATCTAGTACAAAAACATTAATTCTATATCGCTCCATACTGCGCCCAGCCCTCCTTTATGCAGCACCGATCTGGGGACATGCAGCTAAAACCAATATTAAACATTTACAAATTCTACAAAATAAAATTCTTCGAGAAATTATCAATGCTCCTTGGTATATTCCAAACATCTATATTCATAGAGACCTTCGAATCGAACTTATTCAAGAGTATATTAAACTATTAGCGGTCAACTTCATTTATTCAGTACAAACCCACAGTAATAGCCTTATTAGCACTTTCAGACACTCCCCGCATAATTAAAGGCCTAGCCTACGCTTTCCATAAATTAATTTCCTTGATCACTTTTTTACTGACAAGCAGAAAGATTTAAATTTTGGTGCAAAATTCAAAGATTTGAAATTTGTGTTTGTAAACAATTGCCATGTGAATTATTCATAAAAATTACTCTGTTATTGTTATGAACATTAACAATATAGTTGAATGAAAGTAATGTATAACTGAATAAGCTTAAAATATATGGAAGCTGATATATTTAACGGATTTATATCAGAGGATGGTAGTCCTCACCTAGGACGGAATGTTGTTATACATTCGTGCAATGAACAAGAAAGTAGTAGCTCACCATTTTTCCCCCAGATTAATCAGGGAAGGACAAATGATAAGCGTGCAGAAAGAATTAGTAACGATATTTATCGGGAGAAATATCGGAAATTAAAGAAGGTGGCGAAGGGTTTTGTGTTTGTAAGTGAAAAATCCCATTAAAAAATGTTGGTTTCTAAATTTATTTTAATGTCTTTTGCTTATTTATGGTTTATAATTTAGGGTAAAATCCTAGTATATGGTGCAGCCTTGGCGCTATTTTGAAAATTATCACCAACACCAAAAATTATCCAAAGAACGTCTAAATATACTATGTGTATACACTGTACTATATATCTTGAATGACCCGTTGACTACATCGTATATGTCTCGTTTTTACTGCTCATCATAAAGTCGCCAAAAGTAGCCAAATCCCGTGTGTACCGGATACTAGGATTAAACCTAACTTGGTGCTGAATGTATGAAAATCAACTGTAATATTTTAAAATACTCTCTGTCTGTGAGCTGTCCTAAATTAAATATATTATGTAATTTTGCCTGAAACCTAAAGAAAATTTATATAAGTGTGTTGTAAGAAGGCCTAAATAAGACTACTCTTTGTTTCATGTTTATATATATACTGCAGGTATATGCTTAGTATCGCAGTGAAACATCGGCTCACAAATTTAATTCGTTCCTGAAGGCCATTTATCAGGGTAGTATCATTGTTTGAAAATTTTCACCGTATCTTTGTTTACACGAATTTCGTGGATCGAAGAATTTCTCATGTATTCTTCCTTTTCCTTCACTTTCAATTAAGTTGCTGCTTCTTAAGGCATTTGAGTTCTTTCTTGCTGAGCTCATTTTTATCACTCTCTAGTTACTTTTCATGTCTTATGATTTTGCCTAGAGACACCATATTATCAATTATAAAAAAAGCCAGATGTCAGAGTCTGTTTTTCGCTATCAGTAAATTCATGGCTAATCTTTGGAATATGGTAACAGGTAGTTTGGCGACATTTTGGTAAGACGATAAAGGTTACTAGCTAGGACTTTAGCAGTGTACATGGATAAAGTCAAGAGTGTGCGCAATGCCATTTTTGTGCAATTCTGGGATTTTTTTTAGTGAAAATAGGTCGACGTGTACATGGATGATACCGTGTATGTGCAATTCTTAAAAATGCGGCGAGCAGTGGGCGATTCTGCATTTTCTCCCAATTTTGTCAATTCCTAATCTTTGTCATGATTAAGCACTTTTGTTCCATAAAAGTTCTAGCATAAGCGTAATTTGGCTAGCAGATTGTTGGAAAAAAAATGTTGAGTTAAAAAAAAAAAAAAAAAAAACTTTGGTTGCTGTAGCAGGGTTGGGTGCTAAATTTTCGCCAAAAAATCGCCAAGTTACCATAATCCAAAGATTAACCATAATTTCTTCCAGGTTTTGATAGTGAGAGTTAATCGATGGAAAATATGAAAATGTTTGTAGAAGTTGTTAAGTATTAATCCATCATTAGAGTATTAACTCAAAATATCTTTGAAAATCATTTGTTGCTGACATCAGGACCTGAGTGAGTAACATGAGATGCCATTCTTCATCTGCAGTATTTCTTATTCTGGTAAATTGTTCTTGGCAAGAAACATTCATGATCCAAGATTTCACTGTGGTAGCAGTGGGATGATTTTAATAGGATTGTTATTTTTCATTTAAATTTTTTCAATTAAAAAAATAGTTGGAAGTTCTTGCTGTTTGTAATGTTATTAAGTGTTTATGCACAACATTTATTTTTAGTTCTTTGTGATTATTTTATAAGTATTGTTTTTAATCTTTAAAATAATTTTCGCTGCTACACAAAGCCAAAATAACAAGACAAACAATTGCACAAACTCGGTATCCAAGTACACATCGACTTATTTTCACTTAAAAAAAATCGCTGAATTGCACAAACTTGCATTGCGCACTCCCTTTACTTTGTCCATGTACACATGGATATATTTTCACTTAAAAAGTCAAAGGAGCACCAAATTCTACAATATAGGCAAACAAAAAATGCATAATCTTAATAAAATACATTTTAAACCAAACAATAAAATAACATAAAAAAAAAAAAAAAAAAAACATGTTATACATTTAAGCACTGCCAAAAGCAAATATTCACTTACCATGATTTTCGAGTTCGCTTCGTACATCCAGAGCCATGTAAAAATCTAAATATCAATCATACTCAAATGACTTTTTCAAACCAGGTATTCTTTCTGATCGAACGCTTCGCATAGTGATCATCTGAACCTTTCTTCATACAAACCCATTCAAATCCATCTAAATGGTTTTTATGTTCGACTAGACGCATATCCTTCCTACATACAGGACACTTATAATGGCTACTAAGTAAATCTTCATTTACACACCAGTCAATTAAAGCTCTTTTCCCCTTTCGCTTCAAATCATACAGAAACTTCAAATTAATCTTACTACATTCGGCCATTCTACCGTCTAAAGAATCAAACCAACACACACCACAAAAACGCTTACAAAACATCCCATGATTCAAAATTTCCCAGAATCATGCACCCGATTATGTCACAATAGGGTTTCCATAACATTCAACTATTCAGGCTACCATAAATGAAACAACAACTTGGCGATAAATCAAACAACAATTTCGTCATAATACAAGGGGTACCTTAAAGTCTACTCTACCCCAACTTAAGCAACTTACATTGAAAGAAATGTTTAATAAAGTAAACAAATAAATATTAAGCTTTTTTTTTGTAAATTTTGATACCCTTTAGATCATAAATGCTCTTTATTTCATAAATTACGGTTTCATATTTTTAATTGCATAATTTCTGCATGGCATCTTACCAGATTTAAACTAATGATCTATAATCCGGAAAAAAAAAACTAATCTGGAATCATCGAAGTCCCGACGAGTCCGTATTTCTTACAATATGCCACTGTGTTTCTGATTTTTCCCCCCTTGTATTGAACAATAGGTTTATTTCGAATTAAATATGGAATGAATTTTAAAGGCACTTTTTATTTTGCATATATATAACAATATATTTCATGTCTTTGTGAATTAGGTTATAAATTTCTTACTTTTTTGTATATATATTATTGCAATGTATAAAATAGTAAGTTATTTAAACAGTAATAAAGGTTACTGTTAGATTATAGTATGTAAAGGAATATTGGACTTTTGTCATAAAATTAAGCATGCAGGATAAAATACTTTATACTTTTTATAATACATGCTTAAGTTTTTAAAAATTTTAACAAAAAACTTTTATCCTACATGCTTAAAATTTTAAGCAATTTTATGCTGCTTGTGGCTTTGAAGGAAGAGGATAAACATTCACATTCAGCATAGCTAAAAGATATTCAAGATAAATATACAAATGATTTATTTCTCTTATGATGATTGTAGATTTTTATTAACCACTGTTATGATCATTGGCAAATTTGTGAAGTTTAAGAACTTTCTTCTTAAGTATTTGTTTGTTTAAAAAAATGAGTAATTTTTAGATCTCTATGCAGTTGCATCTTGTATTTTTTTCATATACCATATTTTGAGAATTTATGTAATGTATTAAATATTTTTTATGTAATGTATAAAAGTAATCTAAGCTTTCATACATCATACTTCATTTAATGAAATGAAATTTATTGCTGTAATGTGATTGTAAATATTTTGGCTTGTTTCTGGTAAAAAGTGAATTGTAAGGCATCATTAAATTCCTTTATTGAATTTTTCATCATTACAAAAATATCTTCATGCTTTTTTTAGGAAAATGCCTCTCTGTGTGATGAAGTTGCTCGTTTGCAGGAGAAAATTGTAAGAGCAAAAGAAGAGAGGCGGTAAGAATAAATTTTCTGAATAATTTTTTAATACTTACAAACTGGGAGGGGAATCATGTGGTCATTTTCTTGTTTACTATAACATACGATGCTTTAGCTGCCCAACCGGTATAGTGGTTAGCATTGCTGACTGCCTTGCCGAAGGGGCCGGCATGGATGTTTGCAAATGTACAGTGTCGGTGTGGCATGGCGATACTCTAAATATGCAGTAAGCCGAAAGTCCTCTCATGTAGTTTGGTGGAAAGGGAAAAGGATAGGAGACCCTCAAAACCATCCTCCTCCGGGGTACTGTCCATCAAAATTGAGGGTGAAACTGAGCTAACTAGCACTGTCACCTGAATGGTGCTCAAGGTTGTTGCCAACGACAGGCATAAACTAGCACTCTTTGCCCCGAGAAATTTTGTGGGCTTGGGCTGACTACATCAGACAAGTGAGCGTAAGGCAACAACATTATGATGCTTCAAGTGTGTTCATATTTAAAAATGTCATAAATTGTTTTGAATGTGATAGTCTTTTTTATTTTGTTGTCATGTGATGCAGATCTTTTTATAGCTTTAAAATTTTATTAAATAAAAAATTAAATTATTAAATCTATGAATTAAGTAAATTAAGCAAATGATTTAATAAAAAGTGCTATTTATAGTCATGAATTAAAAAATAAAGGAATTTTTATGTTGCTTTTAATTTTTAATTTTCAAGAAATAAAATTCTTCAAAAAAGTTTCAGTGATTTCTAGACATGCTAATGTATTACTTTATTGGACGACAATAGCAGTAATATATTACAACTGAATTGTCTTCTAATTTACTTTTAAAAATATGTATTGGTATGCCATATTAAGCTAACTTATTTTAAATATACTTTTGTGTTAATTCCAGAAACTATCATTATGCTTATTTAAAATAATCTTTGAGAGAAATAATAATGTAAAAAAAAACTTTTTCTTAAAATAACAGAAAAATCTTAATTTTATTTTTGTAGAGAGCATACTAAATGTAAGCATTGCCAAAATGACAAATATAATATTATGTTTTCTGGCTCATGAATGTTTTCCATGTGTAGTGATCATTCTATCTTGTGATGTGAAGTTAATTTATTAAATCTTTGTCTATTCTGTTTAATGGTAGGTTATATTTTTGACATTGATTTTGGTAAAAATATATTTATGGGCACCCCCTGGCAACAAATTGGCAATTTTTGGCAGCATATGGACACTGCGTTTGTACAATTGTTTTGCTTGTTATTTTGGCTTTGTGTCGATGCCACACAAAGCTAAAATAACAGGTGAAAGAATTGCACAAACTCAGTATCCATGCACACATCAACCTATTTTCACTTAAAAAAAATCAGAGAATTGCACAAACTTGGCATTGCACACTTCCTTGACTTTGTCTGTGTATACATCGATCTATTTTCACTTAAAAAGTTCAAAGGAGCAGCCAATTTTACAAAAATAAGAGTAAAAAAATATCCTCTGTAGTGCTGGTATCTTCCGATGTTTTCACAAACATGTGCATAAAGGCATAGAAAATTTTTAACACTGAAAAATTTAATTGATAGAAGACAAAGTACTGTCTTCGTGCAAAACTTTGCTTCCAAAACAGGTAAGTGATCCATAATGTAACATTCATGCAGAATGGAGCACTTTCACACTGTTGTCCAGCACCTTCTATAAAAGACATTTGATGGTGATACTGTCTTCAGTCCTTCTTTCCCACATGAATGAGTACCATGTGTCTATTTATCTTGCACCTTGCAATTTTTTTGGATATGGAGCTACTTGGAGTCAGTAGTGTTCAAAGTCAACCCATGTTAGTCAATATATTAAAAAAAGTCATTTGCCATCATGTGACAGTGACAGGAATTATAGTTGAATTCTGCTTGGTTCTATGCAGAGTTTTGTACTGCATCAGAGAGCCATCCTCATAAACGACTACTGCCACATTAAGCATCTGTAATCATAGTTGCATTGGGAATTGTGCTATGGCACATATGAACGTCTTTAGGTAATCTTTCATTATTAAAAAAAATCCTATGTCTTTTTGTACATTTCTGTTAAAACTGCATGTTAATACTTTTTTAATTTTTAGTTTCTCCTTTTTCTATTATAGTACAAAGTCCATAATCCGGACTCGTCGGGACTTCGATGATTCCAGATTAGTTTTTTTTTTCCGGATTATAGATCATCAATTTAAATCTGGTAAGATGGCATGCAGAAATTATACAATTAAAAATATGAAACCGTAATGTATGAAATAAAGAGCAATTATGATCTAAAGGATATCAAATTTTACAAAAAAAAAGCTTAATTTTTATTTGTTTACTTTATTAAACATTTCTTTCAATGCGCACATGCGTAAAGTTTGTATCTTTGAGGTCTGGATTATAGATCATCCCGGATAATGGACGTCCGGATTACAGACTTTGTACTGTACTTTTGGATTATCTAGTCGATGCATAAATGTAAAGCATTTTGATATATGTGGAAATAACTATAGTACATAAAAATATCATTCAAACAATAATGAAATCTAAAAAAAGAAATTTTTATTTGTTTTATTAACTGTGAGACATTTAACACTGAAATTTTAGTTAGTTGTGTTTTTTCCATATCATTTATTCATATTAAATATGAAAGATTATAATTGTAGGAAAGCAGTAACTAATATGGAAAAGTGCAACTTAATATGCCATTTCACAGTATTAGCATAAAGCAGAGATCTGGAATAAGCATTTTGTGCAGAAGTTTTGATTAATAAAGCAGTGCAGCTAGAATCTCCACCAATATTTCCAACAACCATCTCCATCAGCCAATTTTATTAACTATCATTCTCAATCAGCAGGAATAGGTTACTCGTATTTCGTTAGCATGTGTCATCTGCTGTGTTGGAGCTTGGAAAATTAGTAAACCAGGAATGTCCTTTGTGCATCATAGCTATGAAACACAGGGTTTGAAAAATGTTCATTATGAAACAAACCTGAATGCAGGTTAAAGAGCAGTTTTTAAACTAGTAGTAAAATAAAGGCTTTATGAAAAACAATTATTTTTTCCATTAATTGTCTGATATGTTGCAGAACTATATGATGATAAACATATTCCTCTTTCCTTCTTTGTTTCTTCTTCATTTTTTTTTAATAAAATATTTTTGATTTATTTTTATCCTCATATAAAAATTTTTTGTTAAATGTTAAATTTGTATCTAAAAACATATAATGGGATTTTCAAACTTTTTGGGAGTAAAAGCTGATTGAATTATGAAGAAGTTAAAGGAACTGTGGATCATAAATATTTGCAAAGCTTTTTCTTAAAAAAAAAAAAAAAAAAAAAAAAAAAAAAAAACTGTGTGAACATTCTTATTTGTAAATGTGAGAACTTGGAATCAATTGTATTGCTTTAATTTTTCAATAGATATATTATTTGAGAAGTATAAAGTTTCCTTTTGTTTCTTAGGTTCCTTTTGAGAAAACTTTTGAATTTTCAGTCATCAAAAGATGGTTCTGCTCAGACTAATCCTATTGTTGGATTACCTGTTACGGTTACTGCCTCCAGGAAAAGCTGTAAGTGGTGATACTTCAGAATCACAACCTAAGAAAAAGAACCCGGTGAAGAAACGGCCAGCTCCGAAAACAACAGGTAAATTAATTGGGCTTAAAAATTTTGCAAAACGATTCTTCATTTCATCAAATAATTTGATACTTTCTGATTACCTGCATCTCTCACTGAAAAATTTGGAACTAGCTGATGACTTTGAAGAGCATTCTCAAATTCATTGGTGACTAATTTTTCACCAAACTAATCCTTGAAAGGCAACAGGAATTTCTGAAATGGCAGTTCACTAAGAATATCATGCAGAAGCAATTAATCAATCAATAAAATTAAAAAGGCAAGAAACATTGGTAATATATATATATATATATATTTTTTTTTTTTTGAAAAACCTTTCTTTTTTATGCTGTTGTTCTCTCCATGTTACAGGGATCTATTTTTACTTAAAAGAAACTGAGAAAATTGAACAAATTTGGCATCAAGCACCAGTCCATGATAATTGCCACATAAACACTTTTTGGCAATATCGTGGGTTGCCACATAATTATTCTACTAAGATACTGCTTTATGAATACTCTTTTAGGACGTTTTGGCTAGATTGGGGTAATCACAAAGTACCAATAATTTCTTTAAAAGGAAAAAATAAATAAAAAAATGTCATTTATTGCAGGAAAAGTGAATCCTTTGGTATAAACTTTTTTAATTCAGGGTTACCATGTAGCCTTTTTTCCTTAGATTGTTTTCTTTTTGGGGCTTTAAATTTCTGCATGGTTTGATTTTCGGAATATACAAAAAAATATTTGTTTCAACCTTCTGCAGTTATTTTGCATTTAAATTAAATTGTCTTTAGCATTTAAATGAAGTTTTGCTAAATTAAAATTTTCTAAGTTTTTTTTTTTTAAATTGCGTTTTACTAAATTGTGCATTGATTAGCTCAGAAACAGACTGGGATTTTTACATTTATTGGGGCACCAACCAAATGGTTAATATGTCATGATAAATGTAAAATTACCTTTTTTAAATTCTTCATGTATGTACAGTCCAAAGTCCGTAATCCAGATGTCCATTATCCGGAATGATCTATAATCCAGACCTCAAAGCCACAAACTTACGCATGTGCATAATGCGTTTACGTGTGCGTGTAAAGCATTTACGCATGCGCTTTTAATGTGTGCATTCATGCGCACTTTCAATAGTGAAGAACTTTTTTTTTTTTCGTAAATTTTGATACCCTTTAGATCATAATTGCTCTTTAATTCATAAATTACAGTTTCATATTTTTAATTGTATTGTTTCTGCATGCATCTTACCAGATTTAAATTGATGATCTATAATCCGGAAAAACCCCTAATTCGGAATTGCTGAAGTCCCAACGAGTCTGGATTATGGACTTTGTACTGTATATTACTTTTCTCAATTTTATACAGGGATTGTATTCACTTCTGTGATTGATTTTCATTTTGGTTCTACTTTAGTGTTTCTTTGGAATATGAATTTATTTTTTATTTATTTTTGTTTTTATTATATTATTGCTAAATAACACCAGGTTTCAACATGTGTTTTATTCCAATTTATTATTTTCAGTTTTATGTATATATATATATATAGTATGTATATGCATGTTAGAGTTATATTTTAACTTTATTGTAAAATCAAATCTCATATTAATGCTTTGTTAAAATATCAGAATAAGATATGCCAAAAGAGAACTAATTCGCTGACAAATTAAACACAAAATCTAATTGGAAGATTAGCATATCAATATAAAATTCAAAATTAGGTTAAAAAGAAACCTTTGATTTGCATAAATTTTGAGTAAACTCTGTTAATTTTAAGGGCAATCTTACTAAATGTCTTAATTTTTTTTTTTTGGCAATTCCCCCCTCCCTTCAAAGATGTGATGATATTAATAGGAAACAACCAAAATGAGGATATTAATAGGAAATAACATTTATAGGGAAACCAGTGGGTGGAGCAATGTGAAATAATTGTAGGCCCATTTATTAAAGTGAACAATAATGAAAAACATAAAAGTATTAAGATGTTAAAATAATGAAAGCAGTAAGAAAAAATTGGATAATTTTAACAGAATCAAAACTGGTTTAAGTGACCAACTATGATTTCTCAACTGTTTACTTCTCATTTCTTTCCTGATTTTTTTCATTGAGGAGTTGAGGATCTTTTCTTCAAAATCACTACAAAGAAAGTGGTATGCAGACATAAATGACTTGCACAGTAATTGTGTGTAATATTTGGACAAGGAGCTAAAGTCCATGCAATATTGCTCTTGTATTAGTTGTATGATCCTCCATGAGGTACCAGCCATTGTTTTGTTCCTGATTAAGAAAGAAGTTCCAGTGCTATTGTGTGTGTGATTTCTTTTTCAGATGAAAACCCCAAACCTAGACCTAAAAAGAAAAGGGTTCCTGCTGATAAACGAATTGTCACTCCAATACCTCTAGACTGTGCAGGACGTCCTATATTTCCTATTGTGCTGGGATCTTTAACAATTCACAGCTTAGGAGTTGTAAGTCAATCAGAAAAGCGTTTTAGATGTCCATAATATGTAATAGCATATGCATAATTCTATTTTTTTTTATTATAAACAAGATTTTATATATTTTGAATCATGCTGTGAATATTATATGAGGTATTTATCAGTTTATTGCTTTTCTGTTTTGAACAGTTTGAAGAAATGGGTACATTTTAAAAAATATTAAAATGAAAAATTTTGTATTGTATTGTTAGTTTTGTGAATGAGATTTGCTGTTGATGGTTAAAACTTAAGACATAAAACTTTAAAATATTGTCTGAGTTCAGTAACATATTTATACATAAGCATAATTCTGCTTTATAACAATGATTAAGTGCTTCCTTAAATAACTTTAATTCTTTTTTTGTAATTTGTAAATGTGAACATTATTTAAAACTTAAATTTATGTTCCCATCTCTTGAAGTTTCGTTTTTGTGGAAGAGAAATTAAATTAATTTTTATGAGCTACCATTATTTTATTTTGAGAATCTCATTCTGTTTAATTTAGTCATTAATTTGCCTTGCTAAGTTTACTGGTGAAAATAAATCTTTTTTACTCGATCTCATGTAGTATAAGAAATATGGGTTCTTATGTATTATCCTATCAACTATAAAAGTTTGCAGATATCTGCCATTGATTCTACTTTATAATCTTCATTAACGAATTCATAACGTTCATTCATGAATGAACAAATCTTCATTCATGAAATCCAGTCTTTAAGAAAAATAAGGCTCCTTTTATTGTAACCATTCAGAAAACAGTAAATCATTATTATCCTTGCAGTTAGAAATAATATTTTACTCCAAAGCACAACTTTGAAGACTGATTACTTAAAACAATTTTAAATAATATTTTTCACTTATTTCTACACATCATCTGTAAGATAAATTGCATCTGATAGATTCACTTTTGGTTTTAATTCCTTTGCACTTTTTAGTCAGATGCAAAGTTAAAAATTATTTAAAAATTCAGCTCAAACTAAAATTTTTTCTTGATCAAATGGCAATTACATTTGGATGGAGAAAAGCAAGCTCTATATTTTGCAGATTTTTCATAGGAGGGTGAGTAAGGCAATTACCTATTAAAAAAAAGAAAGAAATTTCCTGTGTTTTATGCATAAACAACCGAAAGATTTTTTGGCATTTTGAAGCATCATAATGTGATCGATTTTCTAATAATTAGTAACTTCCACTGTTCAGTTCCTGTCATATTAGCATATGTTAAAATTGTAACCCATTCCCCCCTTCCCATTTTAGTTCCATTGCATTTTTTAGCTTTGAATGAAATGTTTTATCAGGTGTTAATTTATAAAATATTTTAATAAATTATTTTGAATTCAGTCATTACTCTTTTCCTGTCTACAGACATTGCTTCTCCCAATAATTGGCATATACTATGTTATGTGTGTTTTCAAAGTGATCCAACCATGGATAATTGCACGTAAAATCACTGTAGCCCATATCCTTTTCAAATTTTTTCAGCTGATTTTTTAACAGCAAAACAGCTTTGTTCTGATTTTCACATTTTTCGAATTTTTCAGGGTTTTTAAATTCTTATCAAGAATAGTAAGTTTTTCCAATATATTAGCAAAGATAAAGACTATATAATAAAGATAATATTTTTTATACATTGTTATGATTTTTGATAGCAATGTCCATCATTTAAAAGTAGGTAGAGCTTAATATGTTCATACTTTCCTTTTTTCCCCTCATATGTTTGAAAATATGAAAAAAATTAGTTTAAAGTGTATATTCTAGTTAAACGACAGAAAATTTAATTTTCAGTGGTTTCTGATCATCTGTACCCTTACACTGGAAAGTCGCAAGCTTGTTGTTGACTAATTTTTCAGTAAGCTAATGCATGAAAGACAACAGTCATTTTCAAAAGGGTAGAATTCTATACATAGCAATCAATCAGTAAAATTGAAAAACATCGATAATAACACTTACCTTTGTGGGGAAATCTTTTTTTTTTTTTTTTTTTTTGCTCTGTTGTTCTCTCCAACATGTACATGAAACTCGTACATGTTGGAGAGAACATGTACGAGTTGTACATGTACAATTTCATAATTGTACATGGAATCAGAGAATTGCTCAAACTCGGCATCATGCCACATTGGCTTTGCACACTGGCCAATACAAGTATGCATATGTACTATATGCATACTTATATTGCAGCATAAATACTTTTTGGCAACATCATGTGTTACCACATGATTATTTTGGTAACATTCTGCTTTGCCTCATGAATACTTTTTTTATGATTTTTTGGTGGGGATGTAGATGATCAGAAAATGCCAGTTTTTCTAAATGATATTTTCTGAATGAACAAAGATTCTTTCTCATGTCACTGAGAATAAACTGCTTAGAAACTAATTTTTAAAAATGTCAGCAAAAGGCATGCATTGAAAATATTTCAAGGAACAAGGTTTTTGTCTCTTTCCTAAACACATCTGAAATAGCCTACCACTTAAAAATGTGTACAGAAATACTGTTTATTTCCTTCTGTAAAGGTAAATCAGTTAGAAATAATATTCAATAATAATAAAAACTAAACAATACCTTATTAGCCTGAATGTAATGTGACACCAAAATTTTTCCTACAGATATTTAGGGAAAAAAAAAAAAAAAAAAAAAAATTGAATGTTATACATTCATTTTTCATAAAAGAATTCAAATAAAATAAAATTCAGCCGAATAAGCATTTATTTAATAATTAAGTAATAACACAGGTTACATTCATGGCAATAAAATTAAGTAATGTGAAACAAAATTATGTAATATTAAGGAAGTACCAAGAAGTAAATTAGAAAAGGAAATGTTTATTCAGAACCTGACGTGTTTTCAGAATCAGAAACCTTTGTTGTCGCATTGGTGTCATCTCTATGCTCGTTAACGCTTTCAGTCTTTCATGAAATGTCATCTTCAGACCCATCTGAATTATTGGAAACGCAGAGTTTCTTGAAACTTTTAATTATTGAATTGAGGTTCAATCTTCTGCCAGTTGGTTGCAACCTATTCTATTAAAAGAGACTGAGGTTTTTTTTAAATTTTTCCAGAAGTTGTTAAGGAGTTATTGCTCACTAATAGTCAGATAATGTATTCTTTTCATAAGTTATCTTTAAATAGTTTACTAACAACCACATCCAAGCCTTGCAGCTAGGATGCAATCCCATATGGTATTATTACACAGCTGATTAGTGTATTGGGGCAATACCTGTTCGATTCTGTAGTGAAGTTTCTGATGCCCCATGAACTTTTACCTTTTCATCTGGTATTATTACAAAATTGGAATTGTTTCAGTTTTTTCTTAACACTTTGAAATCCATCAAGCACCAGCATGGAGCAAGTGTTTCTCCGAGAACCCGGAATTTTAAAGAAAGAGACTTGCTTTAAAACATTGTGTTGTGAAATTTGTTAAAAAATTGTCATTGGAATTATCACTCTACTAGATTAGAGTTCTAGTTCTGTTTCTAGTTCTTTTGCAAAAAGTCAGCTACAGAATGTCACCATATCATGTGTACACCTTTAGGTACTAATGTTGTATCATATGACACTGTGAAGGTACCGAAAGTTCAAAAAAAGGACTATGACATTCAAGAAGACACTCAAAAATTGCTAAGAAGTTAGATGTTAGTGCCATATCTATTAGTCGCGCTATGCATCACATAAACTTGATGTACAAATTCAGTCGCAGGGTGTTTTATGAGTTGACTCAATAAGATAAGGACAGACATGTTTGGGCCTGCACTAATCTGCTCAAATATCAATACAAGGGCAAAATTCTGGACCAGATCATCGTTTGTGATGAAAAGTGGATTTACTTCAACAACACAGGCCAAAAAAGTGGTTAGTCTGCACTCGGTGAGCTTTCTGGCAGCATTGCAGAGCACAATATGCCTAACAAAAAGATCATGCTTTGTATGTGGTGGGATTACTGTGGATTCTGTGTGTCAAGGATTTTACCTTTTTCCAGATATCCACAAAGAATATCTGGAAAAAGGTAAAATCCTTGACAGTAAGGTATACAGTGAGATGCTAGTCTGTGTTGATGCTGCTATTAAGGAAAAACATCAAACTGAGTTCCATCAAAATAATGCAAGACCACATGTGTCTGCATTCGCCAGCTGGACTCTGTATGGACTCAAATGGGATTTTTTGCCACACCAACCAAACAGTAGTGACATTGTTCCTTCAGACTTTTACCTTTTTTCACACCTGCAGTTACATCTTGCTGGTGCTATCTCCCATTTTGCACAGGACATTCGAACTGAGCTACATAAGTAATATAAATACTGTGTACCCACATATTTGTGGGTACACAGTATTTATATTACTTATATATTACTGTACACATGTGTTACTTATATATTACTGTACTTTGTGGGTACACAGTATTATATTACTTATATCGATATGTGTGTGTTTATATTTGTATACATTTCAGTTTTTTGATAACATATTTTAGATTTTATGAATGTAGCTTATTTTGCTTTGATTAGGAATATAATACTATTTAAATGATACAGCTGTACTCCATTTATTAATACCTAAACATTTTATTAATCAGGTTATTTTTTCCCACAGATAGTTCCTGATAGACTGGGATATCATACTGAAAACTGTATCTATCCCGTTGGGTTCTGTAGTTCTAGAACATATGCAAGTTTAAAAAATCCCACTGTACTTTGTTTATATCAATGCACTGTTACAGACAGTCCATTTGGGCCACGAGTAAGTTTTTCTAATTGATTCTCTATTTAATATTCATAGCTTTAATTAGTGCATCTTACTTTGTTATCAACAAACCATAGTTTAGAAACACGTGAACTATACGTCATGTTTTATGGTTAAAAGTATAAAAATATTTATTTTAGAGTAATGTTAGATAGTTTATTTTAAAACTTGATTGCATGCGTTAAAAGCATTTTTTTATATAAAAGCTGTGATTTAATAAAATTGTTATTAATTCTTAACTTTATTTTATATGCAGTTTGAAATAACTCCTGAAGATGATCCCGGTCGTACTCTTGTGGGAAGTTCTCCTAATGAAGTTCACAGTGCTCTTTTAAAAGCTATCAATAATGTTTGGTACGGAGAACATCATTTGTGTATTATTTTATATTGCAATAAATCTGTTTAATATTTATATTTAATATAAGGTTATTAATCGCTTGCCTGATTATCCTGAGTTATCCCGGGTTTGTATATATTGCAGTTAATTATTATCCTGAGAAAACTCGGGCAAAGCAGAATTTGTCAGAACGATTTGTTTTATCATGGTTTCACTCGGCTTGGAGGAAATGAAAGGAAATATTCAGCTTTTATTGGCAATTCGGCAAGTTTTGATGGTTTCCCGGTTCTTTTGGCGGGATTGGTCACGCGTTTTCCCTATTGTCTAGTATACGTCGGTTCGTGGATTAGTAATGTATAAAGAATGATAGTTGCGTTGAAAAAAGTAAAATAATTGCGATGATGCAAGATAGCGAAAGCGATGATTTTTCAGATAGTGATTATAACCTCAAGGCATTTTCCAGATGTTATTCCTGCTACTGAAAAAACATCAAATCCAATGAGACAGTGTCCTCTGTGCTCCCACAAAAGAGATTCCAGAGGTAAGCCAGTAAGAAAAGAGACCAGATACCAGTGTATAGAATGTTAGATATCACTTTGTGTTGTCCCTTGTTTCAAAAACTCTCATACAACGACTAATATTTAATTTTTTTTTTCATTTGCCCGAGATAACTCGGGATAGTTACTAATATAAAAACTAATATAAAAACTAATATAAAAACTAATATAAAAACTAAGTGCTTTTACACCTGTAAAAAATTAAAAATTCAACTTAAACCCTATATATTTTGCTTTGCTTTGTTTCCTAGTATTTAATAATAAAATAAAAAAATGTGATGATTTTTTGCAATTTTTTTTCAAAAATATGTGTAAGGGAAGCGGTTGAAAATAATAATCGTATAAAAATAATATTCATAACTATCTTGATTTTCGAATTGTAACTGCATGTAGTGTCATATTATCTTGTACAGTCAATTCTGGTTGGACCATCGTTTTGGTCCTAATAACCAGCTGGTCCGATTACGTGAACATGTCCTATGTTGTAAGACGGGATGTGCTATATGTAGCAAACAGTAAATGTACATGTAAATCATGTACTAAAATGTAATTGTGACCTTTATTGTGCGGTACACATGTAAGGCGAACATGCAAGAACTATGGTCAAACTTTTTTCATTGAAAAAATTAATTTAGAAACAAATTCTAAGAAACAATCTCTACGATATTCAACATGTGAAGCACAATAAAAACAATTTCTTACCAAGTTCTAGTCAACATTTGAAGAACTTATACAATGTGATCTGACGCGTTCTCTTGACAGATTGCACATGAATGAAATCGCCACAAACATCTAACGCAGCAGTGGGACTGCCTTCATTTCCCTCCTGCAGGGAATACCAACACAAAGTTTCAATGCATTTCCTCACATCCTGTGTTATCACTTGCACCAACTTATTCAGGGTTCGTAGTGGTCCTTGCAAGTGCTTATAAGTCCTTATATTTGAAAATAAAATATAAAGGCCCTTATAGGTGCTTACTTTTTCTTTAAAGCCCTTATTTTTTCTGTTTTTAGTGCTTATTTTTTGCTTTTAGTGCTTTTTTTAATGAAAGCGCATTTTCCCCCCGTACCAAAGCCGAAACTAAATAAACAACTTTTCTTCCTTATATGGAACGTCAGATGGTGAATCATACTCCCGGAAATAGCTTTTCCCCCTTTCTCTGCATTAATGTAACCTATGGTATGCACGAGAGTACAGACAGGTGCACTTCGTTCTATTGGTCAAAGAATTGCGAAAACCGTAGAAAATTCCGGTACATTCGGTATTCTTTTTCCTCCCACCCAAATACTACACACGTTTGAATTTCTATCAAGATTTTAGTAATTTACATTCTCGTTCCTTGTGGTCAGTTCATATTGGTGTTTATTATGATCGTTATGCTTATATTATGAGCATATGTATGAATATTTATAATAATATAGTAGCAGTAGCTGCTGAAGTGTAGATAAACTTCCAAAAATGGGTTTATTTTCACACAGATTAGCTTTCTAAGGAATAATATTCAGAATGGCTTAAATAAAAGGAAAATAATCGAATAGTCAGAATAATTTCTTTTCTTTTTTGCCAATACATTATACAGTATGGAGGTTGGGAGGTTCTCCCCTTTCTCCGCAAAATCTGTAATATTGAAGCAGCGGTCTTTTTTTTTTTTTTTTTTTTTTTTTTTTTTTTTTGTCACTGTCTAATCTGCATTGAATAGGACTAAAAGTTTTGCGGTCTACCCAACCCAAGCGAAGAATGATTCTATTTCGGAAATTTAACGGTCTGTTCAAAATTAGAATCTAAAACACCCCAGATTAGTAAGTTTCTTTCTTTTCCTTTATTTAGATCTTTATTCTCCGAATACCGGCAGCTGTTGATTCCGATTGCATAATATCATGTATGAAAGAATTACGCCGCACGTATTGCGCAATAACGTTTGCGGTATTTTGAAGAGATAATTAATTAATTTTGATGTTCAGTCTGAGATTTATTTATGAACACTTAAAAGAGTTTTACTGTTCTTTCTAAGCAAGAATATTTCTCAGTTCCATTGGTCTATTTTTATATGATGCACATATCGAAATGTCAAAATCATTTATTTAGCCGAAAAATCTAAAGAACGGCTACAGTCTGCCCCCCTCCTCTTTTTCCACTTACGCTCGACTATATGGAATATTCGGCAATTTGAGTATGTGGGTTAGTTAAGCTTTTACTATTAAAGGATGACTGCATGAAGCAATTTCCTGTCTCCTGATTTCAGAAATGTTCCTCTTTTTTTAAATTACTTTGCTTGGAATATATGTTAAGGGAAAACTGTTATGCAATGAAAATTTAGAAACTGTTCAGAATTTTGATTTAAGTTAAATTATTTAAATATTAATATGAGTGGAAAAATAAATTCTATTTATTATTAGGTGCCAAACGAATACAATTAATATGGCTTATTATTATTTATTTTCTATATTTTGAACTGAAATTTCATCATTAAATCTTGTAATATAGTTTTTTATTCTCTCATTGTAAACTAATTCTGTAAATTGAACTGTCATTTAAAATTAAAAAAAAAAGTTAATTGTTTTCCATGGTTGAGGTAATGCTCATTCTCTTAATAAATATTGCCTTGTTCATATTTTAAATTGCAACTCTAATTTTTCTTTTAAGGTTATGCAGTTGTGTATAATGTAATTAGACAGGTGCTTATTTTTTTTCTTAAAATGTGCTTGAAAAGTGCTTATATGTGCTTATTTTTTTAACTAAAATGTGGCTATGAACCCTGTTATTAGCGACATCATCATCACACTTTCTTGGTCTTCCGATGCTGTCGTGTGTTTTGCTGCAACTTGAGCAATGATTGCAGCCATATAATCTTCATTTTCATCGTACCATTGAAGCTCATTGTGAATGGATAAAAATTCTTCGCAATTTTGTACCTGTTGAAGTTCCACATGTAAATCATCATTTTCACTTTCAATGAGCATGTCCACATCCATCTCCAGAACCAAGTGCTTAAAGCCACAGTGAGAAAAACAGTTCTGAATTGTCTCACTGCTCACCTTTCGCCAGCTGTCAGCCACAAATGTAATTGCTTGTAAAATATTGACTTTTGGACTGACTTCACTGACTTTTGATGATGAGGTCAGCAAACTTTCTTCAATTACTTCATGGATGTAATTAACCAACCTTGCGTGATAAAGGGTCTTCAAATTTTTTATGATGCCCATGTCCATTGGCTAGACCAAAGCTGTGGTCCTGGGAGGTAGAAATTCCAGTTGGACGTTCATCAAGCAATCGAAATGAGGATGTGCTGCACAATTGTCAAGAAGAAGCAGCACTTTTCTCGACTGGCGTTGTAGCTCTCTGTCCCAATCCTTCAGCCATTCTTTAAAAAGTTCAGAGGTCATCCACGCATTTCTGTTTGCACCATACACAACTGGTAAACTCTCCATCCTAAGTCCTTTAAAACAGCAAGGCTTAGTGCTTTTTCCTATAACCAACAGCTTCCTCTTGTCTGTTCCTGACATGTTGGAGCAGCACAAGACAGTTACGCGATTCATCGCTCTTTTGGAGCCAGAGAGTGCAACATGTTTGTAACTTAATGAGCTGTCCGGTGTAGCACAATAATACAGCCCAGTCTCATCAGCATCGTAAATGTCACCTGCTGAAAAATTTTCAAGAAGCTCGGGCAGTTTTGTTGATCTCCATTCTTCAGCATTTGCACTATCAGCACTTTCTTTCTCACCATGTGCTTTCTTGATTTTATGTCATGTCTAGATTTCCATCCAGACAACCAACCCTCCGTAGCTTTAAAGTCATTATGGACCAGGTTTTTAGCGAATTCTTCTGCTTTGCATTTTAACATTGGGCTGCTTACTCGCACAGATCCTCCAGTAACAAGGGCAAACCATTCATTAAGGGCCTCATCAACATCTGGGTCCTTGCCTTCACGCTTCCGTTTTTTGGAAGTTCCTCCTCGTCCTTCACATTGTGCCCATTCTTCTCGCAGCTCATTTTCTTGTTTTATCAAGTGCGAAATTGTAGTCTTTGCCAATCAGGTTATTTCCACTAACCGACGCTGAATAGTGTTTCATGGTTGTTGCTTGATCTTATCCAGGAAACGAATTTTTTCAGCTAATGTCAAGTCCCGTTGTGGCATTTTGGCAGGGGAGACAAGACACGCGCACAGTTCACTGACTAAAGTGGTCTGAAGAAACCTTGGTGTTTCGGGTTCAAGATGTTGAGGTTGAGAGGGAGATAAAATGCTCGTCATTCAAAGCTTTGGACTAAAATCACCCCAAAAAGGTGATGAAATGATAGCTTTCTCGTGTAAACTTTAATCATGATTGACAGGCGATAATTCCTTTCAGGTGGAGCCGGACACTGTATTGTTCATTTTCTCGAAACTCGGAGGCACAGGTCAAAGAAAATGGTGTGCGTGTTCACCTCCCACCGGTTTTGTTTTTGTCATGCACTTTAAAGAATTCCTGACCTTTGATGAAGCATTTTCCTGGGGAGCCACAATTACAGATCCTCCCATATGTCATAGACCACCTGTACATCTGCTGTACGTGGCCAACTTGTGGCTTCTGTTTCTTATTCGCTCTCATGTTTTTTGGTCTGATTAAATGGAATTTTGGTCCAAGTAAGTGAATAATATTAGGCTTATGTACATAGCATTTGGTCTGAAAAAGCAGCTGATCCAATTGTCTGGTGGTCCAATTAACTGGATGTGACTTTATACACAAAGAAAAACATTATAAAAACACTTTTGATAACTTTGCAGAGTCTTTATCTTTTTGAGAGCATAAAGTATAGACCCTGCTGAAGACGAGGTAATAAATTCTCACTATGTCTTGAAAAATAGATAATAGCCAATGAAGGTTATAACAACCTTTTTATTTTAACTGAACTGAATAATAGAACATGCACACACTTGGTGCTCAAAAACTAACCACCACTTGTGGCTAAGTAACTTAACACAAAATAGTGTATACAATCAGAATGAATCAATGTCAACTATGTGACTGGTTCCTACTTCAATCTAAATAAGATTTATCAACTGCACACAGCAAAGCTGAGTCTACAATATCAATGCAATCTAAAGTACACGGCTAGCACAAATATTCTGCTACAGAGCTACTTGCAGCCACGCGGAATAAATCTCACTCGTGTCACAAACTTGTTCTCGGCGTAACCCGCTCTACATGTAACTAACTCTTCTATCACAAACTCTTCAATTCTGCTATTTAAATAGTATTTCTGAACTTGTTGAGATTTTGCATACATGTCATTTAAATTTACATTCTAGCAGGAAATTGAAATCAGAAGGAAAGTTTCTTAAAATAAAAATAATTGATTAGTACAGAATAATTTACGAATTCCTCATATAATGTAAACTTCTTAAAGTGTAAGAGCAGAATATTTATCTTGTTAGTTTAAGCATGGTAACACACTGAATCATATATGCTGTGATACATATGGTTAGGAGCAAATTAGCAGCATTTGCAAAATCATTGTTCAAGAAATACAAATTATTTTTATGGATCCCTGATAATATGAAAATCTCTGTTATTATATAGTATGAAAGAAGAAAAAAAAATATGTGCATGCATAAAAACTGCAAAAGTATAGATTGGGTCTTTTTGTTGTGAAGCTGAAGAAAAAGTTCTTGCAGAATGTCTCTTGATCCAAAAGTTTAAATATTTGATAATATGAATATAAATCGTAATATTTTAAGTTATACCTATTTTCTCAATAGCTAGAATAAAATGATTTTCAATTTAAGAGTGTAAGAAGTAAAATTTCACTATTATTGCTTACAGCAGTGGCATAGAATAGAAATGTATCACAGAATTAATTACAATTTACAAATTCAGTGTTTACTTTCAGTATTATTTGCTGTACACTAATCTTGACAATTTATATGCCATATTTCATATATTATTTATCATTGACTAATTTCTTTTATTTTTGTAAACATGTCGATAAATATAATAAAAATGCATATATTCATGTGAGCTAATTAATTTTAATATATAGACTAATTTTACCATTTCTGTGTGCTTTTTTTTTAAACAAATTTGTCCTCCCCACTTGAGTATTGAAATGTTTTTAATAAACTATATGAATGTTAAATTACTGTGGTATGATATAATAAAAAATATACTTTTTTAAATATTAGTTTAAATATTAGTAAAATAATTATTAGATTAGTTAAAAATAGTTAAAGTATTTATTAAAAAAAGAATATTTTATCAACTATTAAACCCATTCTAATTTCAAAATTGTGAACATATTTTTATTAAAAAATCATTTAATAATTATAAAAGTCTCATATCATTTAATAATTATAAAGAACTATAAATTTAAGTCTTTCTTCAGTTGGGTTTATACAGTCCATTTATCTTACTTTCTGTTTCTTTATTCAAATGTTGTGTGTATTTGTCTTCCTTAGTGGGAAGGATATTGTGAGCACTGAAGGTCAAGGAGCAAAATTTTTTGGTTTATCTCATCCTACTGTACAGAATTTGATTCAGAGTTGTGCAGGTGCTCGCAAGTGTTCTGATTATCGTTGGGTCCAGTTTGAAGTAGCCAAGCCTCCTGATGGTGAAGATGATATTACAATCAAGGACTTTGACCCTACTGTAAATTTTGATGTTCTTATGCATATGGTAAAAGAAGGCACTCAGTTGTCTTGATTTCACCAATTGTAAGTCCATAAAATAAATACATATTTTTTGTGAATAAAGAGATAGTAATTTTGTGAACAAAAACTATTTTTCTGTATTAGCTAAGTAAATGTAATTTTATCAACTTTTAAAAAAAAACATCCATCTGTCTGTGTAGTGTATGATAGATTTTGAAACTGAAATGGCAAATGCATGAAATCAATATTTAAAAATTTTTTTAAAGGAAGCTTCTTTGTTTATCATTTTCAATTCTCAAAATTTGCATTCTGTTGAAATAGAACGTATTTTTATTTGAGGTATGTATTTGTTAGAAGCCTGATGAGCATGTCATCCAACGAAATAAATGCACAGCTATATCTTGAATAATTCTTTCCTTTATTAGATAAGCATATGAGTCATGGGGAATTATGATGTGACAGTATTATAGTAAATTTTAATCTTACAGTTTGATAGCTCACTTTAAATTTTGAGTTTTATATTATATATCTTGAATCTCCAGGTGGCAGGGTTAATTCTTAATCCTCTCAGGGATTCAAGTTAATTAAAACTATTTATTTTAAGAATAGGTTTGCACATTAAACTTTAATAAGTTGAAAATCAGTGTAAACCGAAACCAGTTGAATAATGCAATTATTATTATTATTATTATTATTTTACTTTCATATTTTTAAAGTATTTTGCAAACTTTTTTTTAATATATTGGTAAACTCTTTCAGCTATTAAACTGTAATCGGAAGCTTTAATTTTTTTTTTTTTTTTTTTTTAAAGGAGTAATGATTTGTAGAATAACTTTTCAATAGAAGTATTTCATGATGGCAGTGCTTTGATAATTATTGAATTAATGAATGTAACTAAATAATATAAAAATATGAGAATCAAAGAAATTATATTTGCTTTTATGAAAGTCAGTATATAAATTTTTCATATGATATTACTGTTAAGTGTTATACTGTCAGATAGCAGAGGAAATCTTAATATGCTTAGACTGTATAATAATGCAATGTTTAGACTGACTGCTGGAAATCATAATTAGTTTCATATATAAAAATTTGAATGTACTCAAGATATTCAAGGCTTGTCTTTTATTCCATCTGTATAAATATGGGCCTTTTTTAATGTGCTCATTAATAATATGGCAAAACATAAACATTTTATGAATTATCGGCAGCATTTCAAACCAATGTCCTAGCATGTTTGTTGGTTTGTACAATTATATCTTTCTTCTGTTTGTACAATTATATCTGTCAAAGCTAGTCACTTTGACACAATAATTTCTCATCCTCTTTAAGTAATTGTTGCAGTTACAGTTGACCTAAATCTGTATTATCATAAAGCCATTTGGTATACTGGGAGACTCTTGTATAGACACCAGGGAAACCAGGTTGTGCACATCCATATCCAAAAGAAACAACGCCAAGCTGAACCCATGCATTATCCTTCAGTGTGGTAACCATTGGACCACCAGAATCTCCCTAGTGAAAAAAATGAAGAACATACAAGGGTAAGAAAATAAAGGAATTGAATTTCTCTGAAGAAAGTCTCTTTAAAACAATAAAATTTCCACTTTTCTATGTTGTGAATTAGTAAAGAAATTTTAATAGTTTATTTCTCAAAAATTTTTGTAAAATGATAAAGTCGAAAAGTGAGTAAATCTGACTATTATTACTTATTTAAATAACAATACTTTTTCATTTTAATTTTGAAGTAAAAGATAATAAATCACATTTTCTGCTCGTTTTTACCCTCTGTTTTTTTTTTTTTTTTTTTTTTTTTTTTTTATTTATTTAGGAATAAGCCTATTTTTATCTAAAGACAATACATAGGCACTAGTACTACTGAGTGATTTTCATATAGATGATATGCTGTCTGGAATCAAACCATTATAAAGTAAAATTCTGAAATCTTTTCTGAATTCTGAAAATAGTAATGTAATTACACAAATGTTACAGAGGGGAAAGTGATCTAGAGCTTTCACCGAGAGCTGAGAATTAGTTTTTTCCACACCGGATGAAATTATGCAAAGTATTGAATATTCCCATATATACTGTTGAAGTGAAAATGGTTAGCAGTTTCAGCTAGTAACTGAAAAACCTATGTATAGAATCTCAGTGAGGGCACAATTTATTTTTTATATTTCCTCTCCAAAAATGCTATTGTTCTCAACAGTGGTACCCAAAATTTGTTTGATGTTTCTCCCCAGTCATTCTTTAAGCAGGCTTGGCAAGTTTCCCTATATCAAAAAAAAAAAAAAAAAAAAAAAAAAAAAAAAATTGGCTGTAAGAAATAAAAAAACTAAATTTTAAATTTATTTCAAGTTTATATTATTATATCTATATTTTATTTTTATGTTTTTATGTAGTACTGTTATATTAGTCATTTGAATATTTTCATTTAAAATTTTTTTTCATTATATATGCATATTTAGATACACACACACATACATATACATGTATACAGTATACACACACTGAAAAGACAAATTATTATACACAACTGTAATGTGACCATGTAAATGTGTACAATGAAAGTCAACGACTTACAAGCCTCTGGTTGCCATTGATGCCAACACTGTATAAATATGAAAGCTCCAGTGGACACATCGAAGATTGTTATTATGCTCTAAGAAAGCTATATAACAGAATTTGATTATGGATAAATTGTTGGCTTTGTAAGCATGGATGTTCAGTATCAGTAACTACCATGCTGCTAAGTACTGTGGCATGTATATACCAAGATTGCCTCAAAAGTGGCACAACTGATGCGAATCGAGTAGTGTGACTTTAAAATAATGATTAATGCATGAGGTGCTCTGATGACAAGAAGTACAACTTTATGTCAGATTATGATAGATTTTAATGTAGTTGCTTCATTTAGCATCAGCAGAAGGGCTGTTTGTTGACAAATGGCACAGTTCAGTTATAAAAACTGATAGTATCTCAGGTTCCACTGCTAATGGGAAGACAGTGGTTTCTGGGACTGCACTTTGTGAAATCACATAGCCACTGGATGGTAGAGATTGGAAACATGACACATGGCCCAATGAATTGAAATTCCAGTTATTGCAGGCAGATGGCAGAGTTCTTGTGGTGTGAACTAATTAATTAACTAATGGTGGCAGTGTAACTAATTACCTGGAGGATCTTTATGTGGTTTCCTTAGAGCCCTATCGTCATGCAGGTTAGGAACTAGAACTGTGCTGAACTACTGGCTGATCACCTTATTGTTCCCAAAAGAGTTGAATTTTCAAGTGGATAACACACCATCCCATTGGCCACATGTTTCACAGGAATGGTTTAGTGAGCATAGCATGATTTGGTTTACTCATTTATCTTCCAAGGTGCGCAGATATGAATCCTTTTGATCACATATAGGTATTTCTGCCTCCATGCTCAAGCATCTGTGGGATGAACTGTAACAGTTTTTTCACTGTCTGGTCTCCCATCATGCTCAGTGAGAGATTTATGTTGAAAACCGCAAGGCTGCTGAGCAACAGTATGACCGTCTTGCTTTCAGCACTTCTTGAATACTTTTCCATGCTGTTATCTTCCATGCAAAAGATGGAGTAACATAATATCGAATAAATTTTAACAAACATGTAGATATGTAAAAAGCAAATTTAAAGTTAAAATAATTAAAAAAATGTGCAAACATATAAAAGATTTAATTTTCGAACTAATCTACAATATCATTTAAATTCAAATAGCATAAGTAAATCAAGTGCAAAACCAAACCATGAAAATAAATTCACCAATTTAGCAAATTAAAATTAATCTAAAAATTTTTTAAAAAAATGTATAAGTGAATGACTGTTGAGCAGGCAGGAGACAGACTTATCAAGGGGAAGTTGCCTCCAAACCTAACTCTTCAATCATTCAATTCGTGTTTCGTCATTCATGCAGGCAAGGATAAAAGTCAAAACCAAAAGTAAATACATAGTGAAGAATGTCCAAAAAGAAATACCAATAAAGTGGTACCTTGAGAAATTAGCCATTAAAAATTAAAGGTCTAAAAGGAAAATACCAATAATGAAGTATTTTAAGAAATAAGCAAGGTAAAGTCTAGTATTAAATTAAACTTTTTAAAAAAATAAATTTTCCAGAAAAATTAATTTAGAAACCAATGCATTTTCCAAATAGTTTAACACTTAATAAAACGAATACGAATCGAGATACTATTGAATACCTAGACCTGCTAATTATTAAACACAGCAAAATTAAATTATATGATAAAAGAAGGATTTTCCATTTTCATACTACGAGGGCCATCCAGGAAGTAGATTACGTTTCCGTCTGTGTCCGCTAGGGGCGGGGCTAGCGCGGCCATCTTGGGGTCAGAGCGTTGCGCAGCTCAGTCTGCATCTAGCCGTGCTAGTGAGAGGTTCGTGCTGTGCTCCGTTCAGATACTGTGACGGTTTGAAATGTCTGCGTTAATTGAAAATCCCGCGAGCTGCGAGGTGCGCTCAGTAATAAGGTTTCTGACTGCAAAAAACTGTAAACCGATAGAAATCTATCGGCAGCTTCGTGAAGTGTATGGGGACAACATTATCACTGAAGGTGGAGTGCGTCAGTGGGTCCATAAGATTTCAAAATGGCCGAACCAATGTTCACGACGAAGATCGAAGTGGGAGACCCAGCATAGTGACCGCCGAACTTCTCGAAAAAGTCGATGCTAAAGTCCGTGAAATCGAAATTTCACAATAACGGAACTTTCTTTGAGTTTTTCCACAAATTTCGCGAAGTTTGTTGCACGAAATCATCAGCGAAAAGCTTGGTTACCACAAGTTTTGTGCAGATGGATTCCAAAAATCTTGACAGAGGACCACAAAAATCAGCGAATGGCTGCAGCGTTGAACTTTTTGGACGCTTACCATAAGGATGGTGACTCTTTACTCGATCGCATCGTTACTGGTGACGACGAAACATGGGTGAAACATGTGAACTGTGAAACGAAATTGCAATCAATGCAGGGGGGGCACACAAGTTCTCCCCCCAAAACCCAAGAAATAAGAAATGCATGCAAACAATGTCGGCAAGGAAGATGATGGCGACTGTTTTTTTGGGACAGAAAAGGTGTAATTTTGGTGGACTTCCTGGAAAGAGGCACTACAATAAACTCTCAAAGGTATTGCCAAACTGTCCAAAACTCAGAAGAGCAATTCAAAACAAGCGCAGAGGAATGTTGAGCTCTAAGATCTTGTTGATTCACGACAACGCCCGGCCCCACACGGCAAATGTCACTCGTAAAGTCTTGAATCTTTTTAAGTGGGAGTGGGAGTTGTTTCCTCATCCGCCGTACAGTCCCGACCTGGCACCGAGCGACTTCCACCTATTCCCAGCAATGAAGAAGTGGCTGGCTATGCAGCGTTTGATGACGACGCACAGCTGCAAGAAGAGGTAACGAAGTGGGTTGAAGGCGCAGGCGCCGAATTTTTCGACGAAGGAATTTCCAAGCTCGTACATCGCTACGATAAATGCCTTAATTTGTATGGTGACTATGTAGAAAAGTAGTATTTGAGTGTGGCTTTCATCTGTATATAATAAAATTTGTTTCCTATACTTTGTTTATTTTTTTATTCCAAAACGTAATCTACTTTCTGGATAGCCCTCGTACTAAGCTAATTAATTGGAACTCTAATATCTCTAGAAAAGTAATAGAAAACACGTTTCATAGCCAAATAATCAGAATAAAAAATATAAGTACTGAAATAGAAGATTTAAAGGAAGAAATAATAAAGCTAATTAATGTTCAAGTTGATAACCAAGTATCACTAAAATTTATTAATTTATATATTAAAAAGGCAGGCATTAACTTTTACTATAATTTTTTGGCTCTTTATGTATGAAACATTACCTAAACCTTAGCAGGAGGGTAATGAGGATTTGAAGAGTAAAGAATATCTTTGTAAATTTTATTGTATAAATTTGTAATATGTATATTTAATCAATACGGATTCTTTCCTTTACTAATAAAGGGCTAACTCTTTTCAAAAGTCTCAATTATAGCCGACGAATGAGTGAAGATTTTAATCTTCTTCTAATTTTCCATACTTTTAGCCAGCTTTAGTAGTTTTGATATACAAGTTGGAATCAAGTTTATAAAACTTTCAATATTTTCTTTCTTTAAATTTAGCTTTTAATAACATTTTTTAAGGAATTTTTGAGAAATTTCTAGGAAATTTTCTTTTTTAACTTACATTTCCTTTCTTTTAATTGATAAATAAAAATTTTTTAAGAAATTCATTTAAAAATTTAATTTTACTTAAAAATTGTGAAATTTTTTTAGACATTTTAAGATTTAAAATTTAAATTTTACTTTAAAACATTTTAAATTTTAAACTTTTCAGTTTACTTAATTACTTTTAATGATTACTTTTAATATCAATTTTAACAAAAAACAATTTGTTAATTTAACGTTTTTATTTGCATTATTTACACAATTTTGCAACAGAAACACCATTAACATTACAAACAAG